GATAAACTTAACCTCTACGCGCTAAACCGAGGCCATGTTCCTGGCTGCGTTGAGGTTGACCAGCGTGGTGTGGATGATGCTTCGGAGGGCCTCCTTCGTGAACCACGCCTGCGTGGCGGTTCAGAAGTAAACTTTGGGAGGATACCGGGCGATAAGTCGCAAAAACATTGGATGAACTCACCAAAAAATCACATCCCCTCCGGCCTCGGTCCTAGGAGCTAAGCTTTTTGCAGGCTTGGCGAAGTTGCAGCAGCTTAAAATTCTTTTGGGGTCTAGCATCTGAAACTGAATGCCCCTTCTTGAAAACATCTCTTCGGCGGTGCTTTTCGGATGCCTTTCAGCGAGGAGCCCGTAATCCTGCAAGACATTCACAGGATGTGCTTCCCACATAGACCAAACCACAAATCCGAAATAACCTTTGCCTCAGCTTGCGGGGGCCAATTACATAAGCATGGCCCCGCACCAGAAAATGGTTGAACCTGAAAGAACCGCGGTTGGGGATGTAGGGTTGATGTTTCAGACTCCCAAGGGCCTAAACCAGTACCAAACCCTCCAGAAGCCTAACTGAATCAGGAAAATCGCAATCACAAAGTGTTCCAAGAATCCTGAAAGCTCGCTCCCTCAATCCCTTGGACCCTAACTCCAACACCTCTTGGCCAAAAACCGCTAAACCCACAGACCCAAAAATCCTACCTGGTGTGAAGTCACCACGACGTTGTTAAAGCCGATGAGGGTCATAAGATCGTCACTCTGTACCTTTGAATTTATGGCTCTGGCTTAAGAATACGGAATTAGAGTTTAGGCCTGAAGCTCAGGATTTTTGAGGGAATGCTTCGTTTGGAGGTTGAAAGGCTCCATGCTTTAGAGCTCCGGGGATTAGGGTTTAGAGATGTACAGCCCATGGATTTAGGGTTTGCAGTTTGAGGAAGTCGGGGGTTCGGACACTTCAGACTTTGAATATGGATTGATTCAGGGTTAGGGCTTCAGGATTGTAAGGTTTTGGACTGGAGGGCTTCCCCTCAGGGCTGTAGAGCCGTGAGAATCTCATGCATGGTTGGAGCTCTGGGCAGCTATGTTTAGGGTTTGGAGGTTTGGGGTTTGGGTCTGTTGGGATAAGGGATTTATGGTCTACTCTGGAGTTGCAGGTTCGTGGAAATTAGTTAAGTAAAACGGTATATGTGGCATATGGGATAAATGTCAGGATGATTGGAGAATATCTCGGATAATGTTGGCCCTATGTAGCAATAAATGATTCCAATAAATGTGTCCAACAGGCGCTTGAGATAGATCGCTACAATGGAGGTTCTGGGTCATTAAACAAAGACTAATTACCATCTTCCTCCGCTGAACCCTGAACCTTAGGGCTTGATAAACTCCAGGTCTAGGTGCAGAGGCAGCGCCAGCATGATATCTGCCCAGGAGGGAGTGGGTCAAAATCATGTGGTCAGGGCTTTTGGCCCAGGGGTTCCAGCTCAGGGGTTCACTTTTTAGATTTGGGCTTTGGGGGTACAATTAGGATTCAGGTTCCCTTTGTTGCCATTGTAAGAAGGCTTGCATTATGTTGGGGAACTAGGAACACCCGAAGGTTGCAAACTACACAACAAAAAAAACACAAGAGACAATAGCTGTACTTACAAGGGTCTCGACATGCTAGGTTCTGTAATCCTCATGATGGCTAGTATACCGATAGCCACTGTTGCCGAGGGTTTCATCAGCATGTGGTTTCTCAACCCTTTAACCCTAAGCCCAATACCTAAACCGTAGACCCTGAACCCTAAACTCTCCAGCATTCCCCGAACCTTCAGGACAAGAAGCAACTTTGTTGCTCCAATCTCGGTGGAAGTACTCACCTTCCTCCGTGCCAGGCTTAGGGTCCCGGAATCTACAGCCCAGGGACTAGGGTTAGAGCTTTATTGTTTAGGTTTATTTTAGGGTGCAGAGATCTGGGGATAAGGGTGTGCGGCTTCTTGTTTAGGACGAGGGTTAAGGGCTTGTGGTTTGGGAATAGTAGTGTCGTGGAGCTTGCGGGTCCTGTTGAATTGCGGCAAGTCTTCCTGACATGACACCCATGACCTGCTGAGCTGGGTTTCACTGGAGGATTGTAGTTTCACCTCCTTCCCCTGGTTTCCATACAACTTTGGCTGGGTTTCTTCAGATTTCTCTAGCCAGTTGCTTTGCACATTGAATAACCTGATGGGGGACCAAGGGCGAACACCCAAATTCACCTTGATTTGTCAGCGGCAGCTCTCCCAACGCAACACGCCAACTCCATCTCACAAGAGCGTATGCGAATGGTCGCGCACAGCCCGTTAAGTCAGCTATTTGACGCTTGAGCCATATGACGCTTGAGCCAAAGGGCAAATTAAGTCAGCCAGTTGATGCTTGAGCCTTGGGATACTTGAGCCAAATGGCACGTTAAGTCAGCCATTTGATGCTTGGGCCATGTGATGCTTGGCGCATTAGGTCAGCCATCTGAGCCATTTGATTCTGGAGCCACGCGACGCTTGAGCCAAATGGCATGTCTATTTTATGAGTTAAGCATGTCTCTCCCTCTCTCCCTCCCTCTCTCTCCTCTCCCTCACCCTGAACTTGTAGCAGTGGCAGCGTGAATGAGGTTTGAAGTGCAATGCAGCTCTTTCATTTTGCCTACATGCGGAACCCCACGCAGTTGGCTGTCTGGTAAAAGGGCTGTAGCCTACTGTGGCACCGTGCATGCCAGCACGAAAATCAGCACTGAGCCGATTGACTGTACGTGCATCGCGTTACCAGCGAGGCTTTTCTTTGCTGAGTCCTTCACAAAGGCCATGGCGTGCTGAATGGGAGATCTGCACTCTGCGTGTCCAAACAAGTTGTAGCCTTGCAGCTCTATGCACTCCTCAGGCAGGACCATGCGACGCAATCTGAAAGACCAAATCTTGCTGCGCCGAAGCAAGGTCGGCACATAGCCGGAGAGCACAGGGCCCATGTGCTGCGCCCGCTGCGAAAGATTTGTGAGGACAGGCGCTGTTGAAGACAATCCAGCATTCCTCAAAGCATCTTCATGCTGACCCAAGCTCTTCTGTTGGGCGTGGGTCATCACAAGGAAGTTGCTCCAGCCACTGCCACTACTGCGAAATGGTGGCAAGTTTCGTTGAGTGGCCAGCTTGCTCAGGAATTCATTCTGCTTGGAGACCGGCGCACGCAACAACTCATCTCCGCGCATCATGACCTGTCTTTCAAACAGTTTCTGGAATGATTGAGCAGGACCATTTGCATGGATGGCTGGATGCCAAGATCTTCGCTTTGACAGGCACACCATGTACTTTCTGTCTCTTGCAATTGGGAGCCCAAACAAAGTCGGGCATGCTCGAAGAGTATACAAAGAATACTTTCCATCAAGCAGCTCTGCAAGAGTCTCGTCGTCGAAGGATGTCACGCATTCAGCGACGAAGAAATCTTCGTCTGCTATCAGCCTTTCGGCGCACCACACTGCAAAAGCTGGACCGGACGTGCCTAGGAACTGCTTGCCGACCCCCATATTTGAAAAGTCATAACAGCTCACACCGGCCACGCTGCACAATGATCCCCCAAACCCTGGCGGCGGCAGGGGGAAAATGGGGCAGTCTGCATGGTGCGTCCAGCAGTACGCGCTGAGCGGTAAAGGCAGCTCAGCCATGGCCTTGGCGACCAGCGGGACTGCTTGCTTGATGAAACTTCTTCCATACTTCTCGTACACAGCTCGCTTTGGCGGCGCACCAGCTTTTGCAAGTGCAGCTGCAGCAAGCCTCAAATACCGCTTTTGCAAGCGAATCATCTTATCATAGATCTGAGGTGGGCAACGATCCACAATGTCATGATGGACACAACACTCTGAACAGGAACTCCAGCGTAGACCTCTGCACTTCAACACTGTCATTGCTGACTCGTCAATGTCACCTGCTCGCTGGCAGATAACAGCACTGCTGTCTATGCCCAACGCCATCACGATTTCATGCAAAGCCTCCTCTGGCCCGCCCATGCCAGAGTAGTCTGTTCTAAGGCACACACCATGACCAGGCTGCATTGCATCTACCAAACGAACAGCAAAGTCCACATTGAATTGCTGCAACCCACGCTCACGCAGTGCATTCATAGTTGAAGTAACCCACGCATCTGCTTCAGCATGGGTTCGAGGCCCTGGCGGGAAGTCGTTGCGCAGTTTTTGTCTCTTGACTTTGCGCCTCCCCTCCAGCTCCATAGCCACATCATAATCAAACTGCAAGGACATGGGCTCAGCACTTCACCTACTGTCTGATACTGATAGCTTCACTGGCGCAGGCATTAAAGGCCTTGTTAAATTGGACTTCACAACAAACTATGAGGACTATGACTACGGGGGTTTCTCCTCCTTGAATTTCCATCTGATCCGCACAGCTGTTGTGTGTTTTCTGCGTGGCCTGGAATACGCCAACACTGTCCCCTGTCAGGGATGCTCTTGAAAACCTTCGAAAAACTACGTGCATCGGCAATTGGACATGTTTGCAGGCGGTCAACTCCAACGCAAAGCCATCCAACTCCGCTCACCATTCTAGTGGAGGCGCATCAAAATAATCCCACAACACCACCCCCTCCAGACTCTCCAAGCAACCAGATCCAGTGGCCCACCCGCAAACCCACCCATCACCCCGGCACATTGCCCAACAAGTTGACAAGAGGCAAAGCGCCTATGCGAAGCATGCAAATATTTTCCTATCATAGTCACGCAGCTGCTGGGAGAATGCAATCATTGCACACCTCAACTTTTGCTGACACCTAGCATTCTCCATTGCATCTGCTTTGCCCTGGTTTGCGCAAGGCTCCTTTCGAGCTTGCTTGCATGCTGCGTCCCAGACAAAATTAAAATGAGAAGGCACTCGGAAAACAAAAAACAAGATCCTCCCAACATACGCAACTTGGCGTCACGCACACTGCGCTGCCTGCAAATTGCGGGCATCCCTGCCCAGTGCACATGAGCATCCACAAAAGCTAGTGGCTAGGCGGCATCAGGCCACCCTGAGCCTCTTCCTCCCTTTGACAAGCTGCACAGCATCATCATCATCACCCTTTTTATCAGCATCACCATCACCCTCATCAGGAACTACCTCGACATGCTGAACGTGGGAGCCTTTCTGCGACGCTGCCAAGGATGTTGCAATCTTGCTCTGCTCATTCTTGACGGTCTCTGCGGGAGCTGTTGAGCTGGTTGGAATCTGCGGCACCTGGTCATTGTGCTTCGGGGCGGCTGCACTGTTGCCGCGCTCAGCCGCTGACGGAATCTCTGAACTTGCGGGAGCTGCAATCGTGCCCTTGCCGGTCTCGCCATCCACCGGGGAAGGTTCTGCAGCAATTGGAACACTGACTTCGCTCTCGGTGCCCATGACCACGGAAGGTTCTGCAGGAGGTGGAGGTTTTGTCTCCCGCGTGTCGCCATCCAACGCGGCAGGTGGAAGGCTGTTGTCCTTGCCGGTCTCGCCATCCACCACCACGGTCTCGCCCTTGCCGGTCTTGCCATCGACGGGAAGTTCTGCAGGAGCTGCGTTCTCGCCCTTCTCAGTCTCGCCATCCACAACGGGAGGTTCTGTGGCGGCCGTTGTATCGGTGGCCTTGCTGGTCTCGTTATCTCAGGAGGTCCACGCACTGGCTTCTCCGCGGAAGGTTCTCTGGGAGACAAGTTGCTGCTGCCTGCGATACTATCGCCATCCTTCACAGTCTCAGCTTTCTTCTCAGGCTGCTCACCAGCGATCGCTTCATGAGAGGCTACAGCAGGAGAGCGCATGGAGTCCTTGATTGACTTGTCTGAAAGGAGAGCACACGCAGCCTCAAGCGCCACAGCATGTGCTCCAATGCTCCGGATGTCTCGCAAGATCAAGGGCAAGAGCTCAATATCAACAGGGGCGAAAAGAGGACATCGAACGCCCAACACGTCCGAATCTTGGAAGACCCGGTGAAAGGTTATCGAGCCTGCAGGCGTGTACAGTAGGTCTCTCGGGCCGACCGTTCCACGTGCCACTGCCTTTGGGAACTCCTTGACCAGCTGCTCCAGGTCAGGCAAACTTGCGGAGGCAGCCCAAGTCAAGGTATCGGGGAACCTCAAAGTCTTGCCAGTGTGAAACTTATAGCTTACAACAACTATACAATACGACAATATAATACTAAAGATGCAACAAAAACGTCTATGTGAGTTTTCCCCACAGTTCACATTGCCTGTTATTTTGCTGTTGGACCGAATTGTCCATTTTTCTCGAAAAACGACCAATTCGGTCCAACAGCAAAACTGCGAAAACAGAATCCCACACATAACCATCCCATGCCAGCACATCCAAGAAACGCCGCAAGGTGACTAAGGCCCTTCTGCTTTTGCAAGAACTTTGCCACGTCATGGTAGCTGATGATGGCCATCTCACGCGTACCCTCCAAAGACCACCTGAAGCAGGAAAACTGGTGGAGCTCAGCCTTCGCGTTCGAAATGTGCCCTGCCGCCAGCCCAAACGCTTGCACCATGATTGCCTTGGACAAGTTCTCCTCTGCCGCCGGCAACAAGTGCTGGTAGACAGCGTTGCAATCAACCTTAAGATGGCACTCAGCTTGAGCTGCACACTTTTCCCAAGCTCCAGGAGCATGGGCTGCGACGCACGACCTTCGGTGACCTGCATGACAGGGCCATGCAATGCAGGGCGCATCAGACAAATCGAAAACACTTCCGGTCCTACCACACCCAGACACAACTGAAGTTCATAGTTCATAGCGCAACTATCCCCCAAACACACGCCTTCAAGCTGCTTTCTTTGAAAGCCTTGTTGAAATCATTCAGGGCGGTCTTGATCTGGCGCTGGTCAGCAGCACCTTCGCTGATCTCATGGACGCCGGAGATAACGAAAGGACAGGCCTTGCCACGCCCAAAATCCTCCTCCCAGCTGTTGGAGGATATGGACACGCAGCACTGCGACTCCAGCTTGAACACAGCATGCTGCTGCTGTGCGCCAGCAGCTGCTGCACCAGGCTCAGAATTTGCTTTGCGCCCCTTTGCCTTCTTCTTGGGCAGAGCAGCATCTGCCTCCTTGGCGTTTCTTTTCTTGGCAGCTTCCTCCGCAGCCGCTGCCCGCTGCCTAGCAGCCCGAAGCTCCGTCACTGAAGCTTTGCAGCTTGCAACCAAGGTCTGGTAAAGCTTCCTCGCTGGAGCAAACGACTCCTGCAAGTCTTTCAATTCCTCTTGCGAAGCGCAGCTGCGGAAGAGCATGCCCTTCGAGGCGAAGTTGGACAGAGGCTGCAACTCCTGAAACCCACAACAAGGCCCAGCTCGAGCAAGAGCGGCACCATCACGCGAGCCATCCTCCGTGCCTGATGTTGTGGACTGCTGCGTCAGGTCCTCAAGCTTCTTCTCATCCCCTTTGCTGATGGCCAGCAGCCACTCGCAGCACCGAACGACCACCGCCATCTCGTCGGCGAACACCTGTGTCAGTGTGGGGTAAAGGGCCCTCAAGGCTACACTTCAAAACATTAACCATACCAGACTTTCCAAGTATACAAATACAATAATTGTGAAGGTTAGAGTGCAAGCTTTGTTTCTCGTAAACTCATAAACCGTGTAAAAACCCTGCATCCCCCACAAGTCCGACATGGCGCACACTCAAACCTTACCCACGAATACCCAGGATTCAGGATGGGTCAAATGGCTTCAAGATAACACGCGAAATCAAGTCCAAAGGATATGGCTATCCGTTGGACTTGGGTCTGATCGGCGCATCTAACAGAAACCATCCAAGTCCTGCACTGTAAACATTTCACAGCTTCTGCCCGCCTTGCTGCTGCCATCATTCCTGAACTCTGCCAACGCTGCCTGCATCGTGCTCGGACCCTCCTCATCGGACTTCCGCTTGCCCGCATCCGCCTCCTGGAGGAAAACCTGCCAATTTCTTTCTGCTTGTTCTCCGTGTCAAAAATCCGGCCTTCGCCCCCTTGGCCCAAATAATATACTCCTCCTCCCACATCAGCTCACCAATGGCGGACATGCGCGTCCCTTCAGTCTTCCGGTACTCCGTCACGAACGTCGCGATGCCGAACTTTATCTTCTTGCCCTCCTTCTTCTCGTCCAGCCGCTTCTTGGCGAAAGCTTTGAGGAGCGCGTTGTACATCTTGGGATCCTTCTTCTTCATCTCCAAGACCTCCACCCTCATGCCCTGAATCTTGGCTAAGCGAAGCAAGCTTCGGGTGTCCGCGCTGCACGTCTTGCAGGAGGCTTGTTCATCGTGGAATTGCTCCAGCGGCTTGGTCTTGCCACAATCACCGCACTTCTTCTCAGCGACTGCAGTGGCCTTGGCTTTCTTTTTCTTTTTCTTGGCCGAGACTTTGGGCGGGGTCGCCTCGCACGCCTTCTCACCTTTCTTCTTGGGGGTGGTCACTGCTTTCGGCTCAGGCAAATCTCCACCCAGGAGTTCGTCCGGCTCAAGAGCTAAAGAAGCCATGCCAACAGCTTATCACTACCCTAAGGAGTATCAGCTTGCTCAATTGAGCTCAAAAAGCAACTGCGATCAGCTGGCTCACACTTCGACCTCATGGGACTTTGCAATGGGCTGCTGCATCCAAAGCCATAACGAAGCAAGAATGCGAAGAATTGCTGAAATGGCATGCCTCCAGGTGAAAACTCAACAAATTGCGCGAATTTATTGAAACGTCATGTTTCTGGCCCCGCGAGCAATGAGAACATGGAACTTTATAGAAATGTGACGCATTCGGCTGAAATCCTGACAATCATGCAGGAATTTCCAAAACTGTGCTCCATCGGCGCGCAAACGACTCTCACCTCATCAAACTCCCAACATTTCCCAACAAAGCAGCATTTGCTTTCACCGACAACCCACCGGGCCATGACCGAACCACCCCCGAACCACCCCCGAACCAGAACCCCCGAACCACCGAACCACCGAACCACGAACCACCCCCGAGCCACCCCCGAGCCACCCTTTGAAAGCATGCCTGATCATACTCAATTTTGCACCCCGTTGCGTAGAAACAGCAAAAAAAAGCGTCGACAATGCCACAAAAGGCCGGAAAAGCGCGGAGCATCACGAAAGTGCATTTGGAACAATTACGGAGCACACAACGCGAATGTCTCTAAGGTCTGGGGTACGCACTTGCAGATCTAAACTGAAAGGAGCACATTACGTGGACTGGGGCTACCCATCAAAGCCTTGCGCACTCACAGAAGAATTTTTCACTCCAGAAGCCAATCCAAAGGCGTCCATTTCAGCTGTTGGAGCTGGAACTAGAGGAATCGGAGGAAGCAGAGGAGTTTGACGAGCTTGAAAGGTCACACTCACAAGAACTTGGAGGATCGGAGGCTGGCCTTGGAAGTTGCTTTAGATTTCGCCCTGGACATGTCCTTTGCCTTGGCTTGCGCGCCTCCTTTAGCCTTTGCTTTAGGCCTAACAGCTGGCGCGGCAGCCATTGCATCAAGCTCTGCATCAGTTCTGACAACTGCTGGCACAGCTGGGAGAGTCGCCAGCCGAGCCTGAAGCACAGCTTCGTCCACTAGCTCCAGGCTTCGGGGCTGTGTAGCTGCATGGGTGCTTCGGCGGTCACACTGCCCTGCTTGAAGACACCAAAGCTTCAAAAGGTTCATGCACCTTGTTTTCTCTTCCGGCGTGTTGGAAGAGAGGGCTATGGATTTTTTGCAGCCGGTCACACTTGTGTCATTTTGTGGACACGTTGCCTGCCAGGCCCCCATTGGGCCTCTTTTCTGCGGGCTCGACCAGGTGAGCCTAAACGGGCCCCACATGACTGTGTCGGGTTGAACTTGCCTGGGACGTGTGGAAGCAGCAGCTCTAGATACTCTAGATGGAGGCGCCTCAGCTTCCGACGACTGGAGGGCCCCGGCTGCGTGGCCTGAGCTTGCGGCCTGCGTGGCTTGCAGGCGCTGCAAGGCGATTTAAGGCTGGAAGTGCTTTAGGGGCAGTGGCTTCAGAATCACGGGGAGGGTGCATCGCGGGAAGCACAGGTTCGGCACAGGATGCATTAAGATCATTAAGGGCATCTAAGGCATTAGGGGCACTGGGTTCATGTGGCGAGGCTGCAAGTTCGGGGGGAAGCACAGAAGGCACCAGCTCAGGATAGGGTGCATTAAGGGCATCGGAGGTTGGATCATTCAACGCGGGAGACTGCGGCATAGGTGCGAAAAAGCCAAGAGCTTCAGGGGCATTAGGGGCATTAGGGGCATTAGGGGCATTAGGGAGGCCATCTGGCCCACGCACTAAGTCTGGATCACTGCCAGAGGCATCACCTGAAAGATGCAACACAGAAGGCACGGGCTCTTCCAAGCATGCTGTTTCAGCTGCATGTTCCTCGTCTAGTATACGCATTAGATCTTCACCTACGTCTAAGGTCACTGGGCACGCTTGGAAGATCAGATAAAGACAGCCTATCATCCCCATCGGCCGCATCGTTTGCTTCATCGCCATGCGCAGAACAATGCTGCTGGGGAAAGAGACTCTGATGATAAACCCCCGGTGATATCGGCATCCTCGTCAACAAGTGCTGCAAGCACTGCAGGATGATCAACAACATCATGCCTAGCACGCTTGCACGAGCGCACAACTGCATCATTTTCAGACTGCTGACCTGACTGAGCTGGCAGCTGCCAAGACTCCACATCCAGCGACAAGGCTGCCCTAGGTTGGTCTTCCAGCGCAACAAGGGCATCGCCTGAATGGTTACCATCCAGAATCATCTGATAATACTGCGCAGATTGGCAATGAAGAACCTGCGTCAAGGTCCCACCCTGGAACAGCTCCTCTGAGCGCAACAAGGCAATCATGTAAGCATGGCAACGACTGAGGCTTGTGTTTGGTATATACCAAAGCAAATCAAGGTTCTGCGGAGTGTGACGGGGCAACCGCAAGACTGCTTTTTTGTCCTTGGGTTTCCGTCTCACCTGGAACCCAAGTCGCCGAAGTGCATCAAAGAGCTGCCAGCTGGTTGCTGCTTCAAGGGTTTCTTGAGACATGTCAGTCAAGGCTTGAAAAACGGGTTCCGGACTACGCACATGGGTTGCGGCACGAAGCCTGCTCGCGCCAAGCACAGTAAAGCCCCATTCAGAAGCATCAGAATCCGGGCCCTCCTGCGAGCGGCACACAAGGCTGAGGCCCTGCAATAACTCCAGTTGCTCAATCATAGAGACATCAGACTGAGCCACATGCAGAAACTGGCCGGTGTTGGGAAAAGCGCGACACGCAACCAACTTTGAAACTGAATCCTCAACCCTGCGCGCAACTGCATCATTCACATTCTCAAGGACGTAGCAAGAAGACTTGCGTCTGAACCATGCTTGCATGTGCTGACGTGTGGCCTCCAAGTTTGCATCACAAACAGAAAGAACTGAAACCGGCCCCTGCACAGAAGTTGCCCTGCTGGCTTCCACGGCAACTAGATATGAAGCTCCAACCTTGCGAGAATGATGCATGGTGACACACAACTGATGCTGGCGTATCCTGCGAGCATGCGCTGCTGGCATCGGCACTAGCTTCTGACGATCCGCGCGCAAGGGGACAACTTTAAAAAATGTCATGTCAGAAGTTGGCACTGCATTTGAGGCTAGATCAGGTTCGACATCGAGCTCCAGGGCCAGCTGATCTGCCCGATGGTCTGCAATGTCAAGGCTTGCACTCAACGTTCTGACTGGCAAGGGTTGGGCCGAATTGCCACATGGCACTGAGAGCAAAAGACTCCTGGGCTGGTTTGCAATGGATGCTTGCAAGTGCTCAGCAAGGGCTTGCTGTTCAACAACATCAGCACTGAACGGCACAGACGCACGAAGACCTGCACTCCATTTCTCGATGGCATTGTCCTTCTGACGTTTTTTTCTCAAGCGTTTCCTGGTTCTTGCCTCTTGCCGACTGTGCTGCGCAACAATATCCAAGGAGCACATGCACAACTTTGCAATCTGACGACGTTCCTGAAAGGTTTGCTTGTCACGCACAGCTTCCAAATACAGTGGATGATTGAAAAACCCCAACCTTTTGGCCAGTTGATCAGGATCAAGTATGCGAACAAATTCACGCAGAAAGTTTGCAGATGAATCGCCCGAATCGCCTGCTTGGAAAACCTTGAGGATCTCAGGCATTCTTAGCAGCATTGACACGTAAGGCCCGCCTACTCGACGCAGACTGCTTGCACGGTGTATGCGACTGTGATCTCCTTCCTGCTGTCGTTCCACCTGCACAAAGGACACGAACACACATAAAGGACAGGTATGTCATATAGATTAATTTGATTACACTGATGACATCCGTGGGCAATTCAGAAACACTGCAACTCAAAACACAAGGTGAACAAAGTAAGCTCACACATGTGGGTTGCGTCACGCAAAGTCTGGAGACATGGCAACCTACTCAAGACTGACATACTTGCAAAACTGATTGCGCAGACCATTTGAGGCTCCGGCTATTGGTATGAAGGAGAGCTCGCGCACCGCACGATGCAACTCTGGCAGGGATGCCAAAGGACGGCCGGACACGAAAGCGTCTAACTGTTCCCTGACGCGCGGCGAAGTTTTCATCCAAAACCATGTGAGCCGGTGATGCAGTTCTTCTCTTTGCTCTGACTCATCAAAGCTACGTACCAGATTAGAAGCAGTTTGTCGTGCCTTTGCTTCGTCTGAATCAGCAAGAGCTGCCAGCTTCCAGGGGAGCATGTTCCAGTGCTGCAGCTTGTTTGTGAAGGTAGCCACCATATGACTTTTCCCGCGCTCAAACTCCTGCAGAAGGCTCACCGTCTCATCCTCTGGCATGGGCGCCAATTCTGCCAAAAGCGTTTCTTTGCTTAAGTTAAACAGGTGCAACAGATGCTCTTCCATTGCACCACTGGCCAGCTCAACTGCTCTCAACCCTGCTAGAGGGCACGGTAAGAACTTCCTCCCATCACCATTGCCATCAAGGCCGAGCTCCCTGCTAGAAGCTGCCAACACAGCCAACACATCCTCCTCCAGCTCAGAGCCATGCTGCGCTGCGTCACGCGCACGCATAGCAGTCCGCCTAAAAGGATGGCAAGCACAACCCTCGGCCCACGCGAGAAAATCTGTTTGAGCTTCATTCAGCGAAAAAACCATAGCTCCAAAACCCCAAAACCAGTCACTGCGAATGGTTGATGTCAGACCCCTAATGTCCAGCGCCTCAGGCGCACTGTCTTGCCGCGCAGCTCGCTGCGCTGGATCTTCTTCTGCCTCTGGCATTTGAGAAGCACCATGGTAGCGTTCTGGGTCCCAAGCCGCCTGCAAAAATGTTCTCAAAGGCAAAAGTCGCTCTAACACCTTGACTGTGATTCCCCACCGCCACTCTGCAAAATGCGGCAGTCCTGTTTCAAAATATTTTTGCATCCAAGCATGCCGAGTACCAAGAAGACACGAAGACACAAACCTCCGCCGCAAGTGGTCATGGTGCAAAAGAGATACCAAGGACCTAAATTGAATGACCCAATCATCCCATGACTCAAGGCTTCTGTTGCAATCCGAGCACATGTTGTCAATGATATGATTCAAACCCGGCACTGCTACGCCTCGCGGCAAGAAAAAACCTTCAACATCAGCTTGCAACTGCTCTGCTCCACCTGCATCAACATCCAGCTCCAAGTCAGCATCCACGGCCCAAGTAGGAAGGATTTCCCTGAGGGTAAAGCCGGCCATGTCAGCAATAAACATTTCTGTGCCCATATCAGAAGTCATACTCACTACTTGCGACAGCACGCTTTGCAAATCGGACACAGATTGCGTTTCCGCGAAAATGGCACGAGCAAGGGCCGTCGTCTTGTGCTCCAAGCCAGAGGCACCTGACCCCAACGCCATTGGCAAAAAACGGTGCACATTGATGCATGACGCCAGAGTCATGCCATGCTGGTTCCGAAGCAAAACTATGTCTGCAAACGTTTCATGATCATCTCGCTTGTACGCTTCAACCAGTTCCTGCCAAGATGATCGCATGTACGAGCTAGCTGCCACGCATTTCTCCAAGTCATTGCAGGCAATCATCAAGGCTGTTGATAGAAGATAATCCTGACCAGCCTGAGGAGAACTATCTGCCAGCAAATACATTCGAAAGGTTTGCTCACGAAAGCGTTGTCGCATGAAACAGCAATGCGCGGCATCTACCAACAGTTGTGATCTGGACAAGGTAGACGCTGAAGGAATCTTCTCCCACACACTGTCATCAAAGTCAAACTCTTCGAAAACAGTTGCCATAATCTGCTTGACTATGTCTTTCAATTCATGCCGGTTGCGCAAATGCATTGCTGCTGCCAACGTGCCCACAACGGTTGTGATATCAAATCTATTCCCTCTCCGCATATGACCACCATCTGGAAGCTCTGCTACCTTGCGATGAGAACTTCCTGTTGCTCTGCAGAAAGAATCCAAACGAGATACCAGCTGCTCCCACTCGAAAGTTTCCAAAACAAGCTCTTCTTCGCCTTCAAAAGCATTCACAAGAAGCGGCGCTGCACGCCGAATCTTGAACGCAAGCTGCTGCGCATGCTCTGGCCCAAATTTCAGATCAGGCGGGGGCGCTGAGGTTCCAAGTTTATTTTGCAGTCTCAACTGTCGCAACCAAACCTGTGAGGGGAACTGAAGATTCTCGCATAAAAGGTTCACAGCAAACAATCTACGGGTGGACCAGCTGGCAAGAACAAGAAGCTTTGACCAGGCCGCACGCCCAATCAATTTTGCAATAACATGCGGGACACCAAAAGATACTGGCTTTGCAACAAAGGCTGCCCACTGCTCAGCACTAATTCCTAAAGCGCGCTGCAGCTCTGCACCTTGCAAAATTTGCTGGGCATTGCCGGAAATGCACTGAGCACCAGTACGTTCAATGTCCTGCGAGGGAACATTGGCCACCTGCACAAGTCCAGCAAACCTCTGCTTGGCAAAGCCAAGCTTCACAGGAGCAGTGAACTTGAAACACCGGGACACCTTCAACGTAAAAGCATCAGCTGGATACCCGAAGTATTCCCACAAGAATCTGCACTCTCGATCCCACGGCGTTAAAGGGCCCTTGTACTCAACATCTGCAACCAACTTGACCAAATAAATGCAAGTACGCTCATTCAGCTCAGTGGGCGCTGGCACTGGTTGCAACTTCTGGGAAAGCAAATGCTCCAGCCCATGATTTTGCACCAAAGCTGAAAACCATTCTGGCCTCGGGAGCTTCCTTGCGCCAGCATCATTAACCGCAACTTTCTTTCTGTGAAAATTATACGGAACCAGGCATGCGAGTGTTGCAGCCGCCATCAAACTTGTCTTCAGAAACCATTGCATTGCTGCATGACGCTGCTGCTGCCTCCAAAATTATGCAAAAAAAGATGCTTGCAACTGATTCATTAGCATTTTGCAACTCAAAACAACTGCTGGGATCAAAATTAGTTGCAACCCTTCCCTTGCAATGGCCAACTTCCTGCAAGCTTGGCTGTGGCTGACCACTACTGCAAAGCTTGAGCTTGAACAATGTAGAGGAAAGACAAGCGATTGAAAAATGGCTCTGCTGGTTGCAAATCAAGACTGTCGGCACAATGGAACTTGGACTGTCAAGCTTGCACATGCGGTGTGCCAAAATGTTGCTTCTGTCTCTTCCAAAATAGTGGCCTGCGATGGCCTGCTGTTTCAAAAATGTATGAAATGCGTGGAAAATGATTCTTGTCTCTTTCCCTGCCACCAAGATCTCTCCCTATCTTTCTTTCTCTTCTTCTTCTTTTTTTCCGCAGCTTGGACCCAGCACATGCCCAAACTCAAGGCAGTCAAGTAACCAAAACAATTCTTGAATCCTTTCGAAGGATACGTGAACGCCAGAGAATCCTTCAAAAGAGAGCTGCTACAAGTTCACATAACCGGAAACTATACCTGTTTAAGTGGCCCTAAACCATGTCGACCCAACAAAAAAATTTCCGCACCAAATCAATATATGTTTGGAAACGGCATGGCCGCGTCGCAAGGAATCAGCACAAATCGAATCACGAGCATGCCCCTGCCACAAGGATGCAGCACAAATCAGAAATCAGAACGCCCAGAGAAAGCCAAGGGATCCGAAAAAGGTTGATTCGGAGGCCAGAGCCCGACGCAGAACCAGCCCCAGGCAGATTTCAAGCCGAAACGGCCAGAAGGCAAGAGAGCATCATGGGGTTATCTAAATTGTGCCCCAAGAGATGGTGTGGCACCTCCCTACAGTCAGGAGGGTTTCTGCGCAATTTAACAGCGGGTCCTACTTAAACACTTTGCTTGGGCAGGGTTTGGGACTTTGGGTGGGAAACCTCTATGCAAGTCGACTGGCTAAAGGCTTGGGTGCTGAAGAAGAGAAGCCGCATAGCCCAAAACCCTGAAACCAGCAAGATTTCGGTGTTGAGCCGTGCACGCCCATCAAGAATGATTTTCCCAACACTCTTGCTTCGGGTTGAGGATTAAGGGTAATCTCCTAAAAGCCACAGCGCCACTCCTCTGCCACAACATCGAGGCCTGCTCCGCCAATAATACCTGCAAGGCCATCTAGGCTTCTGGGACAGCAGGGTGTGGGCCTGAGCGATTTATGGTTTATGGTTTAGAAGGGACATTAAGCATTCGGACCTAGGCTCCAAAGACGAAGCGTGCGGGTTTAAGCGTCTGTCAAAGGGGCTTCGAATAAAGAGCCTCGTGCTTCTTCAAGTTGTGCCTGCGGATCATGGTAAGGCTCTGGTAAAGCTTGGGAGTAGACATGGTGTGGGGATTAAAGTTGGGGATGAACAGTGCTGGGCTGCGGGAGTAGGCATGCATAGCATAGGCTTAATGCTGTGGAAGCATTGCTTGCAAGGGTACACAGGAATCATAAACGGATCTGAGACATGAGGTTGAGGGTTCAGGAGGTTCGTGGCTACGCAGTAGTTTCAGGTGGTTCGGGCATGCGGGTGCATATCTGCAGACTGCTATGGATTCTCCCTCAGACCCTGCTGGACCCCAAGCCCGACATCCCAAGGCATGCCTGTGCTTAAAGCATCCCTGACTCAATGCCTCACCTTAGACCTTTGGCCATGGCTGAACACAAATCCAACAGTTCTTGCAAGACTTCGAATTTATCAACAATACGAGAACTGCTATGCTATCCCTTCATACTCCCTTTAGAACTCCTAGACCGCCAATCCTAGCCCCCCACAGCCCAAACAGCCTTTCCGAAGTCCGTCGATGAGTGCTCGTGTGTCAACTAGGCCACCACGGGAAACGTTCACGAGGATCACGCCTGTCACAGAAGCGTGCGCTGCTAAGGTGAGAGCTGCGCGTTCAGAGCTGCTCTTGGGAATTCTTGAAAGCAACGTGCGTGTTTCCCGACCCTTCTGGTCAGGAACATCGGTGAACCTAAACATGCACATCAACACCCCTGACCACGGTTTAGGATTGAGGATCCAGCTTGCACGGCGTTCCAAAAAATGGGGTCAGACTCGATCTACCCCCTGTTCCCTTCTCGACTCTCACTTTACAAGGTCCTTGTCATGATGGCCACAAGAAACACCGAACAAAAAAATGAAGACCTGCACAAACCCATAAAATCCGAGACCAACAACAGAACATGCCCTGAACCCCTAAAATGTTCAGCCTAGAACCTCTCAACGTTGCCATGCAGCAGGTCTGAAATCAACCAGGCAAATGCTTCGGGTTTAGGGGTTCAGGGCTCAGGGTTCAGGATAGAGCGTTTAGGATTTCAGGGCTTCAGGTTCATGATTTAGGCTTGACGGTTTCCAGGGTGCCCTCATGCAAATTACCAAGGAGATAGCCCTGAATACCGGCCTTCTGATTCAACTCTATTAATTTCCCTCTTCCGCCCCCTTTCACTTCATCGCTGAAATGACTGCAACACAAGCAAAACAAAAATCAGAGCCCAAACCCCTACCTCTGCGCCCAGAGCCTTGAACCCACCCAGCATGCTGCCTGGCTTCATCTTGGCAATGGATTCGGCGTTGATTAGCTTGACCTCCAGCTTAGCGCTTCAGCTTTAGGATTGCAGGTGTAGGGTGGGGGTTAGGCTTTTTAGGGGGCTTGGGATACCGCATTTGTGGCTTCACGGTTCAAGCCCCTGTTTGCAGAGGACAGTGGTCTTTGTACCCCTTTTCGTGGTTCCATGAGGGAGTGCATTTTTGCTATGCGGTTTCTGCATGAGGGTACTGGCTTTTGGAATCATGAGGGCCAAAAGAATGTGTGAACCGTGGGCCTTGCATTCAAGGGTTTGTAATTTGCAAATATTTTGGGTAAGTCCTCTTGGGCCTTGGGGAAATCATTCTTGAAGCTCCCACAGCCTAAACCTAAACCGCCAGCCCTACATCCAAACCCACTTCAAGACCTCCTGCCAAAGCTACTTGGCCTCTCGATTCTAAATATTCCCAAAGCCCATTTGCTTGCCAGAGTGCTGTTTCTTGCAAAAGCGGAACATGGAGGCAGATGATGTCGCTGGTGCGGAAAAGCTCATCTAAGGACCTCCGGGCTTTCATGAAACACATGTCTGTTGCATGTGCTGTTGGAATCTTCCCAGTGGGCCCTTCAGACAGATGGTCGCAGTGTACGGTGTCGCGATACTCCTTGCAGCCCTCAGCTTCTTGCGTTACATGGTTGCATACCGTCCTCTACAGTTGACATTCTTGCCACCAATAGCTCAACACTGTTGAAGCTGTGAAGCGTTGGTGGCCTTAACTGCTGGGGTTGAAAGGGTTTGAGTTTGAGGGGTCCAAAGCTGAAACTCAAGTCATACATACTTCTCATCACAATGAAAGTGCGGGTGAAAGCTATGGCCCTGTCTATGCCCCAGGGAAACCACAACTTCTGTCGCAGACACTCAGGAGAAAGAAAAGATGTGAGGGTCACGTCATGATCTCTTGTTGTCATTCGACTGCGCAAACCCCGCTCTACACCATAGTAACACGATACTAAGCCTAAACCAGGCCCAGAGCCTCTAAAGCTTAGATCATCCTAGATGTCCCTAAGTTGAAACTGAACCCTTATTCTCTGAAATCATGCTCAAGCCCGCAAGACCTTCAACCCCAAACCCAATCACGAAATTGTAGAACAAAGACTGAACCCTTGGTCCGAATCTTTACCTGATTTTATCCCTAAACCCAGTCACCCACACCTCTTCAAAGCTAAATCACTCCGCGGCACACATAGGGAATGCCCAATCCGGCAGGCGGCGGATCTCGGACGAGCCCCTTCCTGAGCTGTAGCGCTCTCCATTATGGTTTAGGGTTTTCAGGCTTAAAAAGCCCAAGGACTCATGGATCTTAGAATCCGAAATGCCTCGAGCTTAGAGTTGTTGGCCCCTCCCTGTGCTGATTTCAAGGTGGCATTTTAGAGGGCGTTCTGAATCGTGAAGTGCGTTTGATCGGTTCTAGGCGGTTCTAAGGTCTTTTTGGAGGAGTGAAACTTGTTTCAAGTAGCTTGTGGTTTCAAATTGTACTACCCCCATAGGCTTTGGGGCCTTCGCTGCTCGTCGTCCACACGGTTTTCGGGCCTGGAATTTGAGCCTTAGCTTTGAAAGTTTGAAGTTCTGGGTCTTTGGTGGGAATGCTCCGTGGGATCTCTATGGGAAATGTGCCGAGGGGCATCCCTCGCATGCCCTCATGGCCCATCTAGCACAGCATCAGACAGCCATGCCTAAACCATGACAAGGTCCATTTACAAGATCCACGCTGAAACGCGCGCATGCCCAAACCATAATGACGTCCATTCCCAAAAAGCCTCCAGCCATCAAAGCACGCATGCCCAAAGCATTCGCGAGAGCATCCGATTCCCAGAACAGCCACGGCCACCACAATGACCACCATCTACCAGAGTGTTGGGTCATCACAGCATCCATGCCCAAACCCAAAAGGCATCCATCCTGGGAATGTCCATGTTGATATGCACCATGCCCAAGTCAGAATGGCGTCCAGCCAGTCACCAGTGCGTCCATGCGCAAACCTTTAAAATGCAAAAATGCGCATCCGCACGGAATACAGGTCAAGGCGCTCACAGCTGCTCCACAAGCCTGCCACCAAACAGGCCACACCCTGCTTGAGCACAAAATATAATGGAAAACTAAGAACTGACCACTGAAAATGAGGGCTGCCAGGCTTCTCTTCAATATCATGCGCCATGACCTCGCAGCGATATCCTGGGCGAAGCCAGAAACAGGTTGAGAGTTTAGGGTACCCAAGGCAGGGCGGCAGACTGCGGAGCTAGGGAGTAGTCCACGCTCTCTGAACTGAAGGCTGTCACAATGTGAGAAAGTATCTTCTACATCCATCTTGCCATGCTATTCCAGATATTCTAAAATGTAAAGGTCATAGAAAGATAGATGCATATGTAGGTGTGGAGATTACTGCCTATGAAGGAAATCTTGCACACTTCAGCGTGCTAAACTGCTGCAATGTCCCGTATCCAGGGCCCCTAGCGTAGGACTTCCTTCTTCAACGTAATTCCAACCCAGTCTTGTCGTGGTGTCGTCTCATGTGCTCAGCAGGGATGCAAGCCTTTATCAGATCGATATTTGATTCAACCAATGCGAAAGGTCCGATGTCCTCCACCCGCATGATGAGGAAGCTACACGTGTACTCAGCCTGCGAAACTGAAACCTAACATCCGCATGTTGAATATTCCAGCACACCCAGTACAATCCCACCTTTCCGGAAGCATCAAAGTTCTGTGTCCCCAGATGCTCCACGAGTGGGTTCTTCTTAAGTTCAGAGTTGTTCATTCTGGCGTGCTTGTTGTTTTCCTTCAGGTTACATTTTCCCAGTCATGACCAAGACAAACCGTAGTTGGCAATGATTCCTTTGACAATGGGATGGTGTCTACTGTAAAAGCCTGAACCCTAAACGCTATTAAGAAACCCTACATATCTACTGTTTAGTTTGAAGTTGCTGCTTGTCCGCTGGGCTTTACGCCCAAGTATTTTGGTCCTGTCGTAAAAAAGGTCCTGAGGGTTTGAGCTGCTGCCTCGGGATGTCATAAGCAAATGGTGAGTACTCGTGTCAGAATTTCAGTTCAATCAGAATTCCAGCTACCCCATATACAAACATGAGAACCACCTCGTAAGGTCGTAACGATCATCATGAAAGGAATATCCACAAAGGGAACCACGTTTTTGAGACTTACTGCTCACATGGCCCCAAACCCTACCACCCTGAAACATGAAACCCAAAACACTGATCCATAGATATCCGAAAGCATGATCCGAAACCCCAATTTCCAACCTTGGCCACTCAACATCGCCCAGGAACCGTTCTTGAAGATCCGCGCCACCACGCAGCCGGTGCGGCCAGTGCCTATGATTCCAACCTGATTCAGGGGCCTACAGGTTTAGGGCTGAGGTTCAGGGTTGTGGGCTAGAATTTCGGGCATGGAGCTTGAGGCTTAAGGTTTAGTTTGAAGGAAAAGAATTTCAGAGATCCTTCTTCTGAGTTTTTCGCCCGGGCCTTACACCCTTGCAGTCAGCACGCCTTGCGACTTGTAATCCCACATTATATCCGGAAGCCAAAACCCCTGAATCCTGAACCCATGTTCCTGTGACCCTGACCTGGATACATGGCAAACACTTCCCCTGTCACAGGCCCGTGCCTCCAAGTCCCAATAGAATCTTCTTAGAAATGCTTGACCATTCCTATCGAACCTTTCCTGAAAGCTATGGAACCCGAAACCAGGCTTCCCAACTCAATCCGAATCCCTAAGGCTCTCAACCCGCAGCCTTCTTCCCCACCATGTCGAAACCCTGAAGGCCATTCAGCGTAAAGTTTGCGCGGCGCGTGCCCTCTGCGGCCTGCTTTCAGGTGAGTCGTTAGGGCTTCGGGCTTTGGGCCTGGGGTTCAGGGTGAAGGAAAGGCCAAACATGCAACAGCTTGGCTCAAGGCGGCTCTGTTTGGCGGGCTAACAAGAAAGAGTCAATAGCAAGCGCGTGTATATGCTCCATATATATATATATATAATCACGCGCTTGCTGGCCCTCGCCCTGATGATATAGTCCTCGGATCCTGGTCCGCCTATGGATTTTTGTTTGTCTGTCGGAGGGGGTGGATTTATCAGGACAGCTTTGGGAAATAAAGGAAATATGCAAGACAGTTGCAACTTTACATGGTATGGGGATAAGACAGATACTCCTGTGATTTCATCAGTTCACGATGCGAACTTTGAAAACTGGATAGACATGGTTTTTTCCAAGAAAGTGTCTTGTTTGGTTCTTAGAAAGGTTGTTAGAAGGAAATACACTCTTTTTTATTCTTTTTTATGGGGCATTGGATTCATTAGACATCAAAATGCCAAATTCAACAGCCCTGTCATTGCTGGGCGCTCACCCCGCGCGTGCAGACCAAAAAAGGAGCTTTAGAGCTTTGGGGTGTTGGGTCTAGGTCCTAGGTAAAGTCACAGGGAGCATGGGGATTGGGGCTTCAGAAGTACATTTCTCTTCAAATGCCCCAACTGCTGTTCAAATGTGTGCGCACACGTGCTGCTGATCCCCAACAACAAATGCCCCAGCCTCCAGTCTAGATCCAGACACATGATGCGGTTAGGGTTTCGGGTTTGAGAGTTTAGGCTTGCGGCTTAAAGCCTAAGGCTTGCTTTGACACCGTACCACATCTTGCCATCAGCTGGATGCCACGTCCTGCTTTCTGCGCTCGCCGCTGCTACCGCAGGCTAGAAACGTGATACTTTTGTGTAAGAATTATGAACTAACTGTATTGGTACCTGTTCAGGAACCCAAAGCTCCAGAACACAAAACCCCAAAATCCTAAACGCTAAACTCTACATTCCACACCAACAGCCTTACCTGAACTCTGTGTGCGCTAAGCCCGCAAACCAGAATCCTCAATTCCCGTTAGCCCTAGCCCCCTTTCAAAGCTGCCTGGGGGATACTCCGGTTGACGGACGTGGCCAAGGCCACCGCATGCTCGCCGGACCCAAAAGCTGAATAGGCGGGCACCCTGACAGTGGCTTCATTGCTAGAGGCCCCCAACCGGATGGAAAACGAGTTTAGGGCTTGGTTTACGGGGTTGAGAGCGCTTGGAGGAGTAAGATGTTTTACAGCGATTCGGGCAAATGGCTATGACGAACTTGCGGCATAGTAAAGCAGTCTCCCCAGTCATGGTAGCTGGTAGTGGCAGCGGTAGCAGTAGAGGTAGTGGGAGTGGTAGTCGCAATAGTACACATACGAGAAGAAGAACAAACTGAGACATGTAAACAATGCATGGTAGCAGTTGATTCAAGATGAGAATAGCAATCCTTTGCCTGCACTGCTCTCGTGCCATTGCCACTGCTTGGTTTAGGGTTTAGGGTTGATGGATGAAACTCTGCACCAGCTCAGGTCCGTAGAGTGAAGTTCAGGTTCAGGTGCAGGATTCAGGCTGCATGTCTGAAGGTTTAGGTTGTCGGATGCTTCAAGTTTAGGGTGTTTGATTTGGGGCTTAGGGCTCCGAGAACCTGATCACACGTGTAGTATCTTGAATCGGTATACGTTAAACCCTACACCAAACCTGCATCCTAAACCAAAAACCTGCTTCTACACACTACACAGGCATCATAAGAGCAACAGGCATCATTGTCAGAATTACTTGATACAAGCTTTAAAGCTTACAATGCTAGCCGGAGCCACTCAGTAGTAGAAGCAAAAACATAGCCAGGAATAGCCAGATGTGGGATGCCTGGTGATGACGAGACCAAGCTCCTCAGCCTTCTCCTTGCCAAGGCAAGATTTCACGAATTCGGTTTGCGGTTGGGTTTGTTTGAGTCGTACTGGACCTTTGCGTCTCCTCAAGCCCGGCACACGCGGGCCTAGCCGACGGCACTTCTCCAGGGTTTGTGGTTGGTTTAGAGTCTAGAGCTTTAGCTTCAGGGTTGGGGGCATCGTTGAGGGTTTCAGAGGTTGGGGTTGAGGGTGCCAAGCTGCTATTACCAAAGGTTCAACCGCCACCACTGCGAGCATTCTTACTAGCAGCACAAGCACTACAACTCCTACACCTCTTTCTGCTGCTCAGCCTCCTTTCCGACGGGCACAACAATGACAACGAGAACAAAGATGATTGCTCCATTGCGACGAAAGAACACCCATGTTTCTACCACCGTTCCTGCTTGTACATCTGCAGGTTGCACGATGATGCTGTATAACGCTGCGCCGCTAGTTACAAGAAAAGAAAGAGCCCTAAACCTCAAGCCTCCAAACTGTGGAAGCTGAAGCCAGGGGCCGAAAACCTCTAAACCCCCAAACCTAAACAGTGACATCGCTCCACATCGACGTTGTTGAAGCCGCCGCAGCGTAGGGCGACCATCTTCACCCCGAAGTCCTCACGGAGGGATTCCAAAACCTAAAGCCCCTTCAGAGGGGCTGCTGGAGAACCCCAGTTGTTTCATCAATGGCATCTATGTTGTGTTGCAGGGGCTTTGCGAAGAACTTTCTGACGGGGTGACATTTTGAAATCTATGGCTAGGGGCATGGGGAGCAGCGGCAAGACATCCGCTGAAATAGAAGAACAACAGGAAGCACAATGAGAGCAAGTCGGGTAAAACGAGGAAAAAAAAGAGCCTGGGTAAGGAGTGCTACAGCCGTGCGGATTGGCTCGTACCTTGCAACGAATGTTTGGCATTTGTCTTGAAAGCTGTGCTTGACAAGAGCCAACTGCGGAGATGAACCTGCGCCTTCATTGGCGTGCAATCTCTTACCATGCCACAAATGCACATGAAGCTCCACATAGTCCTTCCTCAAAAGGGGGCATAGGTTCTCTTTTGGGGTTCTTGGTTCGGGGATTGCGTCGAGTAGCCAGCTGGCCCAAACCCCAATGATAGCCTCTGATCAAGCAAGGCACACTAGTAGTAGTAGTAGTCGTCGTCGTCGTCGTCGTCGTCGTCGTCGTCGTATGATGGGAGAGCTTACGCGTCCCACAGGGCCAATGCAATATCAAATGTACGCTGCTGCTGAACTGAAAAGCCTTGTGATTACAAGGTCCCCAAGCCAACGCCACATGCAATTGACATGTGGTAGGGCTTCTTGAGCCGGCGCTTCACAACAGCCAAGAGTGTCGTGCCGAAACGGGAAGACGAGCATTTTGGAAGGGGCACAACCCTGACTACGCTCTTCATCTAGACCCTGCACAGCTAAGCCGTTCACGTCTCAACCGTAAGCCACAAAGCCCTGCACCCCCAAACCTGCCTCATGTGAATAAGGAATGAGGGAAAAATGCCTGAAAATGGCCTTGGACCCTGAGCCCTACGACCAGCAACCCTCAACGCCAAACCCTCAACTCCAAAACTCTGTTCCCCAAACTCCAAAATCCTAAGCCCTTAACCCTAACCCAAAAGCCCTAAGCTCTAAACCCCCAACCACTGGCCTTCAGAGTGGCAAGGATCTCAGCCGAGCAATCGTCGTGAACCTGAGGGAAATTTGAAAGGGGGTGACTGCGTGTTTAGGGCTTTGGGTTAGGAGGCGTAGGGTGCTTTGGATGTAGTGGCTTAGGGGCCTATGGGTCTAGATTTGGTTGCAGCCCAGGGTCTAGAGGCTGTAAAAGGAAAGGGTATGAGTTCATCAAGGTTCTTAGTATTCCAGACCACCTCAAGGAGCAGCAACTCAAGGACCCTAAATCACTTTCACCTGTTGCAGGCTTAACCAGGCCAAATTCCCCATTAGCATTCCGCTGGCATAATCTCTCCGAACCTGATGTAGACCCTATCCTCACAGCAGGAGACTATCAATTTGGTACCTGTTTCCTGTATTGTGGGCATAACGGCTTGTGATGTTGGTCAACTTGGAGAAGCTCAGAGCAGAACAACCGAGTCCATGGAACAACCACTAGAAAAAACAGAAAACCAGTCGAAGACGCCCTGCTGCTTCCGGATGTTGTAGGGCCCGCTGAAGATGTATAGACAGAGATCATCCCATTGCTTACCCTCAATAAAGAGCCCCCACAACCTGACCTGCAGATCCAAACCCAGATTCACCTCTTTGGCCGTGGCGGTAAGAACGCGGATACCCTCTACTCAGCGTGCCCCTGAGCACAACACCGCACCAACCCATGCACTTGTTTTGAAAGCTTTGTCTGGGCTTAGGTCACGCTAGGCCTAGGCCTCGGCAATTGAGGACGCATCCCTCACTCCATACACCAAGCCTAGAACCCTACAACCCTGAAAAAAACAAACTGTTGCTGCAAACCTCGAAAGTCAAAGCCCTGCACCTCAAACCGCATCAAAACTCTGGCAACCAGAGGCCCGACACACGAAGCCCTCAAGGGCAAAAGGAATCAAGTGCAAGCAAAGCCACGAAGACGCAGACCTTTTGCTGAAGTTTTGCATTCCAGGTGGCCAGGATTTGAGGCTTAGAACGCTTGGCCTTTACCCGTAGCTGAGATCCTTGTATAAGGAATCCTGGCATTTGGAATGTACCTTTGGCGGCAACGGTTGACGATTTGCAAGCTACATCTCAAATTCTGAGCCCTAGAAACCCTTACCCTGGAACAGTATGCTGGCCTTAAACGCGGAATGCCAAATTAAATCGCGAACCCTAAAATGGATTGGCCGAATTACCAGCAGAGTCACTCAACAAAACCCAGAAACATCAATGTCCTTTGACCAGGTGTCTATAAAAACACATATTGGTTTAGGGCCTAGGGGGTGTTTGGTTCGCGGGATCAAGACTAGACGGGCTTCTTTTTAATGATTGAACCGCAGCCACACACCAGACTTGACAAGGGATGCTCTCAGAATTGTGTCGCTCCATTTGTTTTTGAGGTTGGGTTTCAGATTCAGGGTGTGGGCTTTTCATTTCTGTTGCAGGGCAACCCTCATCCCCGAAAATGTTAGGGACTCTTGGGCCCTGTACTTCTTCCTTCCAAGTACTTCAGTAATCTGGTCCTTGTCTAGTCCCCATGGAGTACCCTCCCCAATACTCACATGAAAGCCAATATGGGCCTGTACTGAAAGGACAATGGCCTTGCAGGTCCCATTCCGGGCTTCCATGTTGTTTTGGGTGCGGGTGACTTTGTGCAAAATAGCTCCGACTTCCCGACCCCTTTTGAATCACCTCGATCTCTTCCCCCAAGCCCCCTCTATGAGCGAGTCAGGCATCCACTCCAAACCACCCGTGAGCGGCTGAAAGGAAACCCAGCACAACAAGTGAGAAGCGCACGCTACATGTACAAAGCATCCCTGTGAACGGAATGAGGCAATGATTAACCGTCACCATCCAGATTGTGCAACACGCCGAAAGGTTTAGTTACGTACTGCTCTACAGAGCCCTGCAGAGCATGCCGCCAGAGCACGCAAGTGCAGAAAAGCACGTGCACGGCCGTAGCCCTTTTTTGCGCATGTAGATATATATATATATATATGTGTCTGAATGTATATGTTGAGGTGCACTTAAAACTACCATCCCTATGTAGAGCAAGGCTCTCCAACCATTAAATCCTAACCATACAAACCCTTCAATCGAACTTAATTCCAAGGGATTAAAGCCTGACTCCTACCCCTAAACCCTGAAACCTATCCCCCGAGGCTAAAAACTACCATAGTCCCAAGAAGACCCCACTCAGCGCGCGCACTGCATCTGCTCCCTGCGCTAGCACGACGCTGTCCGAACAGAGCGCTGCCTGGCAGTGGATGGGAATGAAATTAAAATTGAAAACATCAGAATCGCTGCTCCAAATCCCCACCACAGCTTGAAAACCCCCGTGCCGGCAATTTCCGGTACATGCTATGTATGCCCGGAGTACCCCATGGAATCCCATGCCCGGTGCAAACCTAGACCAGCCGATAGAGGCCTTATGGTCCCAAGTAGTCATTCACGTGAGACTATAGAAGTTGAATTCTGGAAAAAAAACATACATCTCTGTTGTGTTGCGGTTATATGTGGCGAAAGAATGAATCGTCGGAACTTGCGAAGTTTGGATAGTTCACAGGATTGTTGGGTTTCTGCAGTTTCCAAAAGACTTGGACGAATCTGAGCACTTGGGGGCAAAAGGTCATTTCAGCTTGGTGGGCCGGAAATTGCCCTCATTGTTGACTACACCTGAACCCCTAACCCCAAAACCGTTGCCAAAACCCGTCAACCTTCGTGCTTCTACCTGGAGCATAGGGGGGTTGCTGTGCACCTTTTGAAAGCCGCACCCAAGCCCGAAACACATCGAATTGAAGATGAAGTCCACTCAAAGTTAAGGCTAACAGCAAGCCCGACACCTAATCCAAGGCTTGCAAACCTCTGAACTTTTCAAAGCAGGGCCTTGTAGAATTGGAAGGTGATGTTAGCGTCGAACTCCTGGTGCGAGCATGTGTCATGACAGCGGGCATCCCTTACCCCTCCATAAGTAAACACTCCCCACCCTGATGTGGAATACCTTAGGTGGACCCTCCACCCCACAATACTGGTATGATGGAATAGACGCGGGCGCTAGTTTCATCACCATTTTCTCTTACAGGCACTATCATTGGGTGGGGGTCTACCCACCTCAGGAATACTCCCTTATCTGTGCATGTCTTAGAGATTTCCATCAAGGGGAGTGGAATTTCAGGGTCTCTACAAGTTAAAAGGGGCTTTGGGGGTTGGGAAGTACTGGCTGCACAACATGGCTTCCGTCAATTTGGATGGGTTTTGCAGGTGATTGCTGTATAAGCCTATGTTGCAATTGTCTTATAGTCAGCATGCAACATTGGACCCGCAATTAAAGCAAAAATGTGCTGATTTGCTACCTTCCACGCAATTGTAATTGCATAGAACCAAAGCACCCTGGCGAACGTGGAAAGTCCCGTAAGACGGTCATAATGAAAAGGCCATAAGCTGAGTGGAGCTGAGATTGTACCCCGTAGCAGTAGCCGTCGAAATAATCTTAGTTTGGGGAGCACTCCTTCCCTACACCCCAAACCGTCAAATCGCAAAATTGATACATGGTGCAAACATAGTTCTGAACGTCTGTAGCCAATACAAGATTTGCCTCATCCTCACTTACAATCGCCAGCATGTAAGGTTGCCCTCCCCGATGTCACCTAACATATCCTACAGGAGCATATGGAGCTGTTGAGCCTGCCACGTCCATGATGACTCTAGGTGTAACGTGGCTTTTAGATGCTGAGAGCCCCACATGCGTGACCGCAAAATTCAACCCCCCATGCTCGGCCCTTACCTGCAGCCCTCATACCATGAAACTCCACATCCCTGAACGCTTAGCGTACCGCCCTGAGCTCCAAGAAGCTGTCCTCATTCATGTTCTCGAACACCTCTTTGTCATGCGGCATTGCCGAGTAGAAGGCCACCTCAGCCAGCGAATTTGCTGTTTGGGGCGTAGCATGTAGAGACCAGACTTCGGGGTTTGCTTTACGGGTTGTCGTATTGTTGGTGTTCGGAAGCTCCACATGGACACGTCATCGCGGAAAAACCGAGTCTGACTACAGAATCCACGCTCTCAGACTACACTTTCCCAATGCTAGGAATCATTGTTCCACTGACAACATATAAGGACCATTCCGTTCCAGGCTGTACTCCGAATCCAGGCCCCGAAGGGGCCATGCGCAACAATTCTCTCTCTGCAGGCGCCACTGCTTACCCTTTCCTAGGTCGAGCAGCGCGGAACGGACGCGAGTGCGCATTTTCCAAGGCTGGTAGCACCTTCTCCTCGGGGCAGGCTGGAGGATAAGGGGAAAGATGGTAATTACACCAGACTTGGGTAGAGTTGATACAAGGCTCTGGAGTATCTGGGATTGGGGCTTGGGATTTAAGGTACGGCTTGGAATCTGCCATCCAAAATGCTAAACCCTAGAGCGTGAATCAAACGCAATAGCGCTCAAACGCCATAGTGCTCCAACGCCTAGTGCGCTCCAAAAGGATGGGCTTTTGTCCTTCTGGAGCTTTTGTGTTTACGGTTCAGGGCTTAGACTTTTAGGATTTAGGGTTTCGGCTGCAGGCATTCGTTTCATGATCTAAGGTATAGGGATCGGGCTTCGGACATTGGGGCGTAGGGTATAGAGCATGCACAACACCAGGCTCCTTAGCATGATACTACCAAACTTCCTTTACTCTAAATCGCTGATCCTCTCCGCAGCAACGGCAAAGGGATCTATGGATGAGTGAGAACCGTCGTCACGATCCGTTTGAGCGTCTACCGGCCTATTCAAAAACGCCCCTCTATACATCCCCAACATGCCAATCCTGAAGCCTAAACCCTAAACCCCACCCGCACCCCCCCACCCCAGCCCACCCAGGAAAGAACCAAGGTCTTCCAACAAATCTCAGGTCCTTGAGCTCTGGACCAGGTGCTGGCAGCTCCTTCCTTTCGCAGTCTCGCGTCTGCTTAAGGTTTGGGGCGGTGTGGTGGGCTAGTTTTGTTGAGGCTTATCATTGGGGCTTTCAAGGCTTGGAAATGTACGTACGGTTTCAGGTGACGTAGACTTTAGATATTACGGATCTGGCTTTAGATTGAGGGTGTAAGGAAGACGGTTTCATGTTTCGGGCGTCAGGCTTTGGGATTCCACTTTGAAAGGTTTGGGGACTGGGGAGGCTAGGCGGCTTGACCACTGCTGCAAAACAGTTTGGGGAGTTTTGGTACTCATACGCCTGATCAGCATTTAGGGGTTCGGGGCTGCCAAAAACCTAAAGCACAAGCAACTGTAACCCTAAACCCTAAACCAGGTAAACTACATAACTACACCGAGCAAACAAAACAATTTAAAACCAACTAACGACTGAACCCAAACGCGAAACCCTACAGCCTGAAGCCCGAAGCCTAGACCCTGAACGTCGAGAAGCATGAATGCCATTCGCTGGCTTCGCTCTTTGTTGCGGCTGGCTGCGTAGCCGCCTCCAGATCAGGCGATTACAATTTAAGGCTTATGGTGTAGGGCTCTTTTCTTGTGAACCCCAAAGCTGAAAAGCAGAGATGGTATGGTACTTCAATGAAGCCCCGTTTAAGCTGCTATGTGCCGGGCCTCGGACTCTGGCATTTAAGGTCTGAAAGCGGCTCAGTTTAAGATCCAAGGTCTTGGGATTGCCACCCGATCCCCCCTTTTGAACACTGTCATGGGGCAGGCAAAGGACCTTCAGGAAAAGGGGACGGCTTCTTCCGCCTGTATGGAAGTGCATCAGGGTATTTCCAAAATCTGGGGTCCCTTTACATGTACTCCAGATTACAACTTCCCTCAGAACAAGAGAGAGGGAGAGAGACAGAGGGCACAGAATGACGGCTGATTTTCCTCTATAACTCCTGTAATGAGGCGCCCAACCAATCTATGCATGGGGTTCGAGGCTCGGCACGACTCCCAGAGGAAGCTTGTTGAGACGTCGTGAGGGCAAAAACAATCCGTCACACACATGCCGCTTGCTCCTCCAACTTCTTCTTCGTAAGGAGCTGGGTGAGCACAATGGCCATAATGTGGCAACAGTGCCAATGAACTCCACAATCAACATTTCTTGCTGCACCTTTTGCTGAGCCTCCGGGCTTCGAATGCCTTGCACTAAGCAAGGTGGGCAAAAAGGGAAACTTACACCCCCGTAAGACGCAGCACCCACCCTACTCAGTCTCTCAGATGATATTCCAGCGGACCAGCCCATTTTTCTGTACTTTCGTGGTCTCCACCCACGCTTCCGCACGTCCTGCCCCTCATCATGCTGAAGCTTGCTTGCGTCTGGCGCTGGAGGCTTGGGTGTTTGGTTTGGTATGGGGTCAGGGCTTGGCGTTTAGGCTTGGGGGCCAAGGGGTAAGGATCTCTATCCTAGAAAACCCATTCATTTAACCCACATCATCTCAAACTCAAACCCTGCAAGCTGGACCTGAATCTCTGGCCCCTCAGCTCTGCATCTGCTATCCTAGCTCCATAGTATCAGTTTGGGTTGTTGTCGCTCATTTAGGGGCCAGGGTTCAGGGCGAGGGTCTAATGTTGACCTACACTACTTACTGTACTACAGGTTCTATCAACATTTTTCCGTCACTCGACAGATCCCTTGCCCCCCAACTACCGCACCCTGCTACTCCACAGAACCTCCCTCCCGAAATCTCCAAAAACTCAGCAAATTTGTTTCTCTACAAAGGCCTATTCCATAAACCCAAACCCGCGAAGATGCGAGCATGGTAACTATCACATGACGCTTCAGGGTGATTAAAAAATCTTTGTTGGTCCGACCTATGCCGCCACTCTTCTGTGTTATGGCTACTCGCTGTGAAATCTAAAGCCTGACCCTGGACCGCAGCAAACCCGACTCCAAGGTCCCGAGGGCGCATGATGCTGAGAATGCTCTTGGAAGACCCTGCAACTTATCCCGACATAACGCCTCAGAACCTCCCTACATATCCCTGAAACGCCTTACTTCCTTGAAGCCTAAACTCTCACCCACAAATCACAAGACTTACACCTTGGACCCCAAACTCTCACGCCTTTGTCTTCCTTGGGTGCCTCAGGAGGAAGACAGACCTCAGCGCTGCAGACTCGGGATAGATCCCTTCGACCTTACATGAACACCACCCCCATGCCCTGATGCGCAACGCCCTCTAATCTAATTCTCGGAGCCATCTCTAATGTTAGGGAGACGGGAATGCGTGAAGGGATACATACGTTGGGTTAGGGCTCAGGGCGTAGGGTTCAGGGATGAGGAGTAAAAGTTTAGGGTTGAAGGCTTTGGGCTGAGGGTTAGGAGCTCAGGGCATCGAGTGATACTTGATGGTTTTCAGTTTGGGGGGGGCAGGGGGTAAGGCATGGGATCTAGTTGAAGAGTCGTGGCCGAAAGCCCGAGCCACGTCATGCCAAGTGCGCCCTGACCCTTCAAGTGCTGATAGTGCTGTGGCTTCGGATATAGGACTGAGGGTTTAGAATTTGAGTTGTAGGATCTGATGTGTAGGAGGATTTGGGTTTAGCATGTCGGGCTTAGGGTTGAGCGTTTAGCATTTCGGATCGACCTTAAGTTAAAGAAATCCTGCAAATTGCGGCCGTTTAGTATACCAAGTTCAAAAGATTTGGGCCTTGGGGACATGACTCAGGAAATATGGAAGCAAGTCATTCATGACAGTGACACAAGAATGTCAAGTTTTTTCGGTCTTGCGACCAAAGCGCCGTGTCCAACACTCCGTTCTGCTTGGGGGGACCTGTGCCCTCGCGAATACCTGAGAGGTTCCCATGGTGGTTTGAAGGATTCAAAGTTGTGGATAGTTAGTAGGCGAACTCGCTTTCAGAAATCAGCACAGTAGGGACTGGCTTTCATGGCTTAGTCGCGAGCATTGACACTGCTTTGTTGGGGAGGTTAGGGTCGAGGGCTATTCAACAGGAACCCAATTAGAGAACATATGGGCACCACCGAGGATTCAGGGCTTAGGGTTTTGCGTTGCATGACACTGACACTGCTAACGGTTTCTTATCGAGAGGCTTCCAGGTTGCTTGAGAAACTCTCGCCTTTCGAGCCTGTTGCGGCTACTTGGGACCTTGCTGTGCCCCCTTCACCCAAAGACTCAATTTAAGAAACCTGCATCCAGCAAGACATGCAAACTGGCACAAGTTCCCTCAAGGCTTGTCATGTCCACAGGGCCTAAGTTTTTGCGTGCTAGCAGCCTAACAGGCATCCTAAGAAGGACCGCAATTTCTGAATGTTGGGTGTCGGCCGAATGAGCATGAGGATCCTACAGCGACTGCTGGCCTCCGCTGCCTAGGTGTATGGAGGATGCATCAATGAAATAAATGAATTGTGATTGCATAGGCAAATTCTGCTCTAGTCGCTGACTTCAGCAGAAGCTGGCCGAGCAGCATGGCACGGAAACAACAGGCTATCTTCTGTGCACTGGGAGCTCACTGGTTTTGACTGATGGGTTTTGGGGCCTGGACCTTTGGGTCGTCCGACAGGACTGATGGGCAAAGCCTCTCCAAATCGCAGCTGGCATTCCATCGAAAATGATCAAATGGCTGCTGGGGCTCATCCTGAGGCCCCTTCCCTAAAGCTTACACCTGCGCTATGACTCCTTCAGAAGACCGTAGACCCTCGCACAAACCCTAACCCCTTTAACCGCTACATCCACTCTCACCCACATAAAACTTTATCATTGACTGGAATTTCTTGACAGGCCACCTTGCATGCTCTTCAGGGTAGTGTCCGAGATTGTCTTCCTCAGAGGTTCGACTGATATTAAGCATCCGATGGGCTGGGAAGGCACACAGGCTTATGGCGGAGGCTGTAACGCTTGGAGCCTGGGGTTGAGGAGGCCAGGGTTTGCGGGTTAAGCGCTTAGTAGACGCATGGACATCTCTTTGGTGACTGCAGAAAAAAAGAGTGTGTGATTCTGGGGGGGGAGTATGCTAGGCCAATGAAACAAGCACTTTCCAATCGGGGGTTTGCAGAAGGCAATGAAGCGACGGCAAGCCTGAACCTCGGTAGATGTGCAACATTAGTTTTTCATGGTGATAAATGCAGATGCGTACTTCTTGGTGTCTAATGCGAGAATAACACTTCTTGCGCATCTATCTAGAGGGTTGAGGGTTTAGGGCCTTGTTGACCTCAACAACAATCCCGGCTGCAACATCGTGAACATGTCAAGTCTATGCATTATTTACATACCCTGAACCCTAAGAATGTGATCAACAGAAGGAAGCCGGCAACCCGCAGCCTGAAATACACCAAACTCGAACCCCCAAACCCCGACACCTTCAAACCCATTGACGCATTCTGAAAGTGCCGAGTTACAGGGCCTCTTGCGTAAAGAACGCCAGATGCCTTTGCTGGGCTAGCACTCCACAAGCTTTGGGATGCAGAGTTTGAGACTTGAAGTTTATTTTTCAAGTTTCGGGATTCAGGTCTGGGGAAGGGTTTGGTAGCCTTCAGGTATTGGGGAGCTGGGGGCTTCATGTCATGGCCGAGGGCTCAGTGCTTGCAGTCACTGCGATCATGTCTGAGTGGAACACCAGTACATCCCTGTACCAGTGCAACTCAAAGACCGCTGGTTGCAAGAGTGGCAAAAACCATTCGAGGCAACATATTCACAGATATCGAGCTCAAGGTTTCCAGATTCAGTTCGTCATTGAGGGTATAGGGCTTCGGGTTCAGGGTCTGGGCCAAAGACTTTCCTATGTTTGCTGGCACAGAGGCTTGCACAAGACCTGCCAAGTTGGGTCATTCTCGAGATGGGCACTTTGCCCACAAAGTACTAATGCTCTCATCATGAGGATTCGTAGAAAGGGGTCTAAACCACGAATCCCAAGCCCTAAACCCAAAACGGTGTATCCTAAAAGCTACACCCTAAGCTTCTGCAACAAACTCTAAACCCCAAGCCCAGCACCCAAACCCCAAACCCTAAACCGACTTTCCGGATTTACCGCCCAGAGGCGGGGTCAAGATCACCTGAGCCATAGCAGGTTGGAGAGCTTCAAAGAATTTTCGTACGGTTTGATATGGGTTGCGGGCTTAGGGCTGAGATCTTAGATCTCAGGGTTCTACATGTTGGGATTCATTCTCCGCTTTGAAAGCTGCAAGTTCGGATTTCAAGACGTCAGCTACAAGCCACCAGCTTGAAGTTTAAGTTTCGGAGTCGTGAGTGCAGCAAAGGTGCGATTTTTTGCGTAGAAAAGATTACGTTCTCGATAGGGCTTTTGTCAAAATCGAAACGCCCTAGGTGCTGAACGTTCTCAAAGAGACTCCCAAAACGACCGGATTTTGCGGCATCCTCCCTACAGACTCCCGAAGCAGACGTTGCATGCTGAAGGGGCACGGTTTCGGGAAGACTTGGAAGAGAACAGACGGGTCTACAAGATCCAGGAAGGAAGGAAGAAACATTGTAGAAAGCTGTGACATTCGGCAAAGCTCAAAACTCCAAGCTTCTTGGCCTCTGTCCACCCTCAGAGCCTCTCTAAAGCATCTGAACCTGTTCAAAGACTGTATGGGGCGTTTCGGGTACTTGAAGCGCTGTCTGTCCAAGCTGCATTGGGCATGCGAACCAGCGTTGCAATGTTGTCGTCCGTTACGCAGCTCGTCGAGAAGTCCCTGAAGGTCAGGACAAAAAGCCGAAGGAATGCATTGGGATTGCAGTTGAAGGTTGCATGATGATCACATAGCCCTGGTCTCCTCTCTCACAGGGACCCCAATGAAACTTAGGCGATTTCACCTTAGAGAATTGCGTGAACGACCTATGTTCTTGGTTGCTACCTGAGCATGGTCTCCAATGTAATCCTCGCACTTTAATCAAAAATGCTCGATGCTCGATTACCTGACCTCAAACCTAATGCCCTAAACCCTCAAGCCTCCATACCGTGGGGAACTCTTAATGAAGCTGAGATACAGTATCTCTATGGGGCTCTCCAAACCATCGACTGCATACGAAAAAGGGGACCATTCTTTGTGCATTCCTAGGATCCGTAATTCCCATCCCTACTTCCCATCACAGATCCCGTAGCACGTTGTAGACCCGAAGGATCCCTAAAACTATCTCTAATGCAAACTCCTCAACTCCAAGAGTCCTGAACTCTGAACCCCATCCTGCACCATCGCACCTGAAGAAGTAGGGGGCTTCACCCTCGACGACATCCATCGCAGCACCAGCAATGGTGCCATCCTCGCCCATTCACAAGGTTGAGAGCTTAGGGGAGTTGGGGGGTTTGGGGTTGAAGCGTTTCATGGTTTGGGGACTTGGGGGTTTAAGACTGTTAGCTGGCGGGGATGCAGCGCAGGGTCTGGGATTTCAAAAAACAAACGCTTGGAGCACCTTGACTCCCAGGCTTAGGGCCTAGGGGAATGCCAGAGGCCAGCATTTCTTCGGTGTCAGATGTGCGAGATGCTGCCCTGACTTGGACTCGAAAGCTGTTCTTGGAGCACTTGCTTGGAGTAATGGTCAAGCCTTCAGGGCACAGAATTTAGGTTTGGACCCCCTTTTGCCTCCGTGAGTTCCGACAGCGTAAGCACAGCTCATCAACAAAAACCCACACAGATAGGGCTGAGGCGTAAGGCTTGGGGCGCCGGCTTTGGGATTACAGCTTGGTGATTCGACGAACCCAGAAACACTAGGCTTACAACTGCTACTGGCCCATTCTTTGCCCACCAAACCACTGCTTTGAATAACTCTGAAGCTAAAAGGGAGGAGTCATGGTTTGAACCTTGAGCAACTCCTCCGCCTGGCCCCCGAATCGCTGAAACCCAAAAAACTAAGCCTAAACCAAAGTATGGTATTCTGAACTAAGCCTTCAATCCTGAGGTGCTTGCCTACCCGCTTGAGGGCCTTCTTAACCCAAACAAGCCACGGGCTTTCTAAGGCCCATGATTCCAAGGTATCGCTATTGAGACATCATAAACCCTAACTACATCCTAAGCCCACAGCCCTCAACTCTAAATCCGAAGTCCAAAATCCCAGACCTTAAACCTGCATGATTAGGTCTCCGCCGGCCTTCAAGCCCTGGATGAGCGCCGTGGTGTCAATGAGTCCACCACGCGAGGTATTGACAATCTGAATGCCCTTTTTCCTAAGATTTAGTGCTTGAACCTACGGGCTCAAGGTTCAGGGCTAAAAGCTCTGGGGCCATAGTTGTGTCAGGCTCAGGACAGCCATGGTGTGCTTCTGAGACTTCCAAATTCTGGGTGTAAGGCTCAGAACGAGAATGCCTTCGTTCCTGGCTAGTAGGCGTCAGTGTCACAGATCTTGAAGTCAGCAGCGTTTAGTCAAAAATCCTGAGCACATATGGGTGGTTGTCAAAATTCTGGCCCCTTTTTGGATCCCAATTATAACACGGCACCGGGACCCAAAAAGGGACCAGAATTTTGACAACCACCCATATAGTGGCTTCTATGCAGTTCCTTGAAGCCCCTAGTTTCCAGCTCAGTTTCCATGCCTTTTTTCACATTTTTCTTCACTTGGTTCTCCATTCTTGGGGTAGTATATCTCGATGTAACTCGTTCTTACCATATAGAGATGTATACACCGCAAATTCCGTTTCATGTTCTCTGATTTTCCATTCGATTCTCCAGCATAGTCGCTTCCATCTTCTATTTTCAATTGTCTCTATATATCTCTACAAATCAAGATCTTCCCATAGCCCGGGGGGCATGATCTTCAGCTTCTCCGCGTTGATCATGTGCTTTGTGGTCGGCAGCAGGGGTGCCTTGGCTTAACAGTTTTTATGGGAGGGATGTAAAAAATGATGATGGGTCCCTTTTTGAGGGGTTCCCTATAAGAAGGATTATAGAATATAATAGAATACAGGGGTCTGTAGGAAACTGCCACAAAGTGCACGAGGCTGTGTAGGGATTGTGGGGTTGTGGTAGGGGTTTGGTCCTCGGAGAAGACGGATTCTGGAAGTAGACAGTAAGGTTTAGAATTAGAAGTCAGAGTGTTGGGATCAAGGTTTAGGGACTAAGGGGTTAGAGTTGAGGGATTCAGGTGCTCCAGAAGATCAGGGCTTCTAGTTCGGGATTATTTTTCTTTAACGATGTGGGATGTAGGCCCGGCTCGAAATCCTGGAAGACAAGCAGGTCTCGGTGTTGGTTCGCGAAGGCCAAGATGCGCCCGGTGCTTGTGATGACGATGGCAACAGCCATAGCCAGATTCATCGTCCCAGATGCGACAATAAGGGTACAGATGATAAGAATAGCCAGTCATGATTGGACAGAAAAAACAAAGGTATGCAGCTTAGTCACGTGAAGCGAGATGAAGTCGCTCGTGGCCAGCACCTTGGAGGGTTCAGTCATTTCAGTACTGGGGCTTGGCTTTCAAGGTTGAAGAATTTGTGTGGAGGCCTTCAAGTATTCAGGTGAAACCTCGGGCCTTCATCCTCCGTTGCTTCACTTTAAGGAGTGTATAGTGCCCTCCTCGTGCTAGGCCATCCAAACCTTAAGATTTCAGTAAAACCGACCCAAATCAGGAATTTGGGTCGTTTAAAGACGAAGTCTGGAGGAAGTGATTCACCGACAACCACTGCCTCTTGATGACGCTTAAAGCGATGTCGACCACTCCACAATGATTGAACCCACATGGCCCCAAACCCTATTAAGCACTGCACTGTTGGAATTCCATGCAGGTGTAGGACAGTGTAGTACCACACAACGTCACAGTTCCAGAGCGGAGAACGCCGGCAGGTTGTGGTGGTCATGCTTTGTGTTTACTCAAGGCTTGTGGAACCTCACCTTTGGATACTATTGCCCCGCACGTTTGGAAGCTCGTACTACCACAAAGAAGCAGGCGGAACCAATGCGACGGGCCTGTTCTGCAGCTCTCTGGTGGATCCGGGTCGGAGGGAGGTGCGGATGACCCATCGACATGCCAATGCGTCTCAACCGCTCTCAACACTGAACCTCGAATCTCCAAAACCTCAACCCTGGAACCCTGACTCCAAACCGCAACATCTGCCACAAACCACAAAATCCGTGAATCCTGAACTACAACAGTTCCACGGGCAAAAAGCCAGGCACCAGTACGCCGCCGACCCTAAAACTACCCCTGCCCAAACCCGATGTGGTAGACTTACCTCAAGGGCTTAGATGGAAACCTCTCTTTGCTCCACTCCTCCAATTCCACTTCCCCCAAATGGGATCCCAGAGGCTGTGTCCAAGTCGAGGTAGGGGATGCCCAGCCCATCCTCTACTTGCCGTCTTGTGTACTTGGAGATAATTGGAGATATACGGATATGTAGGGATGGGGCAGTTTCACTTTTGAGTGGTTTAATGTGTAGGGATTTCAGGGTCTAGCAGTACGAGTAAATGTTTGAGCCTTCAGGTTTCCAGATAGCAGAATGGCAGATTTTGTGGCTTTCGGATTCCATGTTGGGCCCAACTAAGTCGAACAGTGGTTCTGGTTAGAGCCCTCCTGTATGTAGACATAAGCCTACTTTAACCATAACATGAGGAATCTCAAGAGATCGTGCTCAAGTTCTCAGGGTCCACGCGCTTTGCGTGCCAAAAGCAAAATTTGCAAAGGACACCGGATTCTATGCGAACACTGAGCGGCTCAGCCACGACCCTACATCCTTAGCCTTAATTTAGCCGAAGTCTTGAACCCGAATCACCAAATCCTCACCCACAACCGCTACGCCCTGAACAGGACCCTGTGTCTCACTTTCCGATCTCCTTGAAAACCTAACTGTTTGTCTGATTCTGGGGTTTTGCGAACCTAGCTCGGAGGCAGCAAACTACAAGAAGTGATGCCAACCAAAGCCCAAGCCGCAGGCGCGGGATCGCTGATCTTGGGGTTCCTGTTGGGCTTCAGGAATTGCGGCTTAGGGGTATTGTTATACGAATCTGCAGCGTTGGGGTTTGGGGCGCAAAGCTTAGAGATTAAGGGTTGAGCTTAGGGTTTTGCGCTTTGCGGTTTAGGTTGAAGATTTGGGCTTCAGGCTGTTTCACAGTATCGTTCGCAGTTTCTTAGGTCTGGGGCTTAGGGAGCGGAATGAGGGGTGGAGTGACGGGGTTGAGTCTCAGGGCTTCGGGGCGGGGCACTATGTACAAGACCTTGCGCGCGCATGAGCAGTCTGGAGAAATTTTGCTCAGTCATTTTGCCATGCCTGTTGTCAACAAAGGGGCTCTTCCAAGTATAAGACCCAGCCCCAAACTCCCTAAACCTCAAGCCCCTAACCCTGAACCCTGAATCCTGTGTCAGACATGTCTCGGGAAGACGTCATAGGCGACCACGTCGCACTCAAAGCCCTTCTTCAGTACAGTCGCAGCAATAGTTCCGATCCTTGGGTGTAGGCTTGAGATTTCCGGATTGTGAGTATGAAGGTTCACGGCTTCAGGTTTCGATGGCAAAGAAAGGTCGCTTTGGGGATAAAAATATTAACATTCTGGAGATTGGCGTCTTCGAGGGCTTCTGATGACTTCATTGGGAACTCAACCCTGACATTCTCACGCCGCACAAGGAGCAGTTTTTGATCGATAAGCACAGCGAAACAAATATCCGACTGTCCTCCTATCACATGCAGGAATGGATCCATACTCTGCAATTTAAGTGCCAACACAGACCCTATCACTCTCAACTCTCAGACTACAGCTTCGCCGCGCCAATCCTATCACCCCCGTATGGCTCTTACTGCTGTGTCCCCTTATGCCAGCATCTTCACGGCTTCTTCAAATTCGGGCTCCTAGTTCTCCAAAACATACTGCAGCCACTAGTAACAAAAAAAAGGCCAATGACCTAACTCAAAAAAGAGTAACGTTCGCCATAGGAGACTAGACCCCAAACCCTGAGACAACCCACCTCTCATGGATCCCTCCATCGAGGAACAGCCCTGTGCCGATGATGCCGACCCGCTTCTTGTACATGTCACAGCCCAGCTGGCCATCCTTTCACGTAGGGAATCTACAGTAAAGCTGAAATTAGGGCTTGAGGTTTAGGCCTATGGATTTGGGCCTCTGGGTGTGGAGGTTAAGGTTTATCAAAATCCAGGGCTTCATGCAGGCAGTCTTGGGGCGCAGGCTGGCAGCTTCATCAGAGGGATTGCATGTTGGGTCTTGGGCAATAGCTTGCAGAACAATGGTGACATCTGGAAATGATAAAAGAATTGTCAGAGTCACATAAATCGGCAAAAAGAACATTGCTGAGACAAAGTGTTTTATTCGTGACGGCAAAGTTTTGCACGGCAGCAGTAATGAAAGCTGATGCTAGAAGAGATCCACACAATCAAAAAATCCTCTGTCAAAAAATCACAGTCTACCAAAAAAGGATCCAGTGCCACCACCAATACCACCGTCGACACCGCCAACCTAAACTCACCCTTCAAGCAACGCATGAAGCTGCTCCATGATGCCCTCAGAAACCCCCCAGGGTCCAGCTTGAAGTTGCCGAGGCGACTGTTGCGGTAAGCATTGGGAATGCGGCGATTCCTCGGCTTCTCATTCACAGGTCTAGCACGCCTGAGCTTCAGGGTGTCTTGCAGCTTCTGGAATCAAGTTGCCAGCTGCCAAAAACGCTCAGCTTGTACATCTGGCGCTACAAAACCGTCTTGGGTGATTTGTGGTTCTCAAGATTATGGGTCCTTTTGGGGCAATGATAGGGATCCCCTCTTACATGGGTCACAAAGGCTCACGACCTCAAGTTTGAGAAGTGCCCAAACCCCAGCAATTCTTTGCAGAAATGCTGTAATCGATTGAGGCTGAATTGTGCAAGGTTCAATTTGGACTCTGAGCACATATTCGACCACTGAACAGCAAGCCCCATAAATCCTGACTCACTCTCGGCCCCCATACCTGAAACCCTCCGTCCTAAAACCCCCAACCTTAACCGTGCACTCTAACATCCAAAACCCAACACTGCAAACCTCAAAATCCTTTGGAAACTGTGCTGTGCCAGAATCAGTGACAGCATCAATGCCACTGCATGCTCCCCAACCGCATACGGGCCTTGGCATGAAGTACTTGGGAAACCAGACGGCAACAATTTTGCAAGGATTGCACTGGGCTTCGTGTTCAAGGGTTGGGGGGATCTTGGGGAGGGGTAGGGCTTCGTTTTGAGACTTGGGCTCAAGGAGTGAATTCTGGGATTTCTTCCAGAACGTGTGTGGTATTTCGAGCGGAGAAATTGATTCCGCAGTTGTGCAGAATCTCTTTGCAGGTCTACTGGGATGAAAATGCTAGGAGCCACCACCCTGAACAATAGACTAACATCCTGAACCCTACACCTTGGGATTAGAACGCAAAATACTCTAAAAACAAGCCTCGCATTCCGAACATTGGGTGTTAGCTAGGCTTTCGGTTCTGTCAGGGTCTACGCGTGATTCGGCTCTAGGGCCATTAAAAGGCTAGGAATTACATTTGTACTCGTCCCCTCTAGGAGCGCACAAAACCCAGGAGAAGTTAGGGGGCCTGTCTAGTCACTGAAACGGCATCTCCAGCACTAGGCGTCTCTGCACTATGCAACATCATCAAAACGATAAGCCAGAAACAGAGAAGCCCAACAGGGATCTGGAAGTTCGCGAAACCCCAATTTCCCTCACGCAGCTTCCACAGGACCCCATGTAGACCTGCTTCAAGAGCAAGTCCCTCAGCATTAATTCCATGAATCTCGACTCCCTGGACCCCTAAACCCGTCTCCCCAAAGTAGTCCATGGTGCTGTAGGCGGGTACACGAGAAACTGTCAGACCAGCGTCCTGGAGAAGAGGAAGAGACTTCAGCGTTTAGGTCCTTCGGAGTTCCACCATATCCCCAAAAATGGGACTGATTGGAGTATCCATGGTTTGAGAATTTCACCTGTGAAGCGGTGCCCTCAAGGCAGCACCAAGACCTAACCTCAAGCCCTAGACTCTGAACATGTAACTTAAATCTTTGTTGGGAATTGGCTACACTGCAACGGTCTGATCATGCTGAACAAGCACACCATATTCCCGAAACCCTAGAAGGTACAAACTCACTGGCGGTCCCCTATCATGCCGCCTTGAAGCTTAAATTTGGAGCCTGACCCCGTTTCATGACAGTGCCATTATGATGAGAGCGCTACAAAATCCCAAACCCTGAGAACACATCACATTTTGGTCCTGTAAACGTTCGATTCCAATGACAGACCCCAGAACAACACACACACACACACACACACACTTGTCATGTCAATCACCGATTGACCTATTGATCAGGTGGAC